ATAAGGAAAGTGCTGCCTTATTGACAGTCTTGGCTGACCGACGCCAGGATATTGTCCGGCCCCCCAGGCCACTGTACACATCTGTTAGGAACTGTTCTGACACTTGTAAAAGTGTTGGTAAAGGACACAGGTTATGAACGTACAGTTAAAAGTAAACAAAAACACTCTGTCCACACGTTCAGAAAATCTCTTAAATTATGAGCAAAATAAAAAAGCCATGCCCTGCCAAGCTGATGCTTTGCTTTGTTTCTGCACCTACAGAGAGCAGTTCTCGCCTTCATCTGAAAGGTTCAAAAGAAGTACTTTCTAAGACTTCTGCACTTTTGTCATTTTTTCACTGTGTGTGTGGTTCCATTGCCCCTTGTCTTCACCTGTAAAAACTGTAGCCAGCGCTGCTGGCTGGGCCCAGCGAGCTACAGACCACCTCATCACTGTACACTACCTCCAGCTGCCTCAGCCCGGGACCGGACTGACCCGGGTTCGATGCGCCATGTTAATTTGAGTGAAACAGAACCATGCTAACGAGGAATCAGTGTTACTGTGGCTAAATGAGATGTCAGCATTGTTTTTTTTCTATGTTGATGTCCTCTCAAAGACTTATCCTATCAGTATTTTGTCTTTCAGTTGTACTCAGATGCTTTAGGTTAGTTTTATTCTCCCATTTAGGAAGGATAATTCACTTCCTGCTTCAATTGCTTTTTTTGTAGCAGAAAAAGCTTAGTCTTTCTGTAATTTTATTTTGCTATCTTACATATCCTGGCCTATTTATGTTATATAAGATTCACTGGTTGCTCTTTTTTCATTATTTGAGAATTTAAAAACGTTTAAAAAGTGGTATTGTTTATGAAATTTCTTACACGTTCGTCATCAGGGATTTAAAATATCTGGAGATTCCCCTGTGACTCTTGCCAAAAGTACTGAGAAAAGGGATAAAAATGCTTAAAAATAGCGGTGCAGTTCCCCTTTAAAATTTTATTCAAAACTCGGATTCTCAGACCGAAGATTTCTGTAGTTCAATGAGTTACAATAAATGTAAGCAAAACCGAAAACAAATGAATCAGGGATGGCCAGTCAAGGCAGTGTCTGGGTGGTACAATGCATCTTCCATTTCCTGATGACTGAGTAGACTGTGCTCGTAGGCGTATTCAAAGACTGATGTTTTAAACCCTTGTCCTTATCTGTGCTTTTCAATGACCTTATACACGATTTGTTTAGAAAACGGCTAGGTCTTCAGGGTTGAGTCTTTACGTCTTTTTTTGCATTGAATGTGTGGAGTAGGTTGTGTATATAACACAGATTCATTTGCTACTTCAAAGTGTCATGACCGCAAATTTCAAAGCACCCCAATTTGAGAGTGTAACCGTGCAAAGGGTCAGAATACTTCAGCAGGGCACTGTAGCTTCACCGATATTGAGATTAGGTTATTTTTCTGTTCATTATCTGTAAGAAAATCAATATATTTTTGTGCGGTTTAAGAAATTCAGAACGCAAAAAGGTTACTAACTTGGGTCACTCGGCTCTACTTTTGTATTTAGAACGCTTTAGTTTTTAACAGGATATCATTTTGACAGGCAAGAGTTTAAACTGTAGTTTACAGTGTAGTTGAGAGCTCAGTTTTTATCATGTAGAGATTCTGACTTCTGTCAGTTTTTTTTTCTCTGACATTTTTGTGATTTTTAATTTGATAGATAATAGTACATATACTGAGTATTATTCGCACATAATAAAATAAAGATTATATATGCAAAATGAGATTGTTTACATCAAGTTCAGTTCGGAACTGATGACCTTTTAGAGTTAGGCCCCTAGGCTCTCAGCATCAGCTTTGTAGGACTGGTGACTTTAGTGCTGTTGAAATCCAACCCTTGAAGGAAGACAGAAACCCTGGGGTTAATTTATAGCCTGTGTTGTCGTCTGATGCGCCGATGAGTAATGTCACCAGGCTGACTTTCAGGGCTACATTGATCTGTTGAGATCCTTGTTCCGCCCGAGACAGACATATTGACACCTGCCGATGTTTTTCCAAGATTGGACTAGTCAAATACTTTACTTACTGTGGTGTCATCCAAGGTTCAAACCTTCTTCGCGTGTGTTCTCTCGGGGTCCGGCATATCAACACGTAATGCTCAACCTGTGTCAATCCAGCCTCCCTGCGGGGCTGTTCTCGCTTAAAGACTTACTGCATGGTAACAGTTCAGCTCTGAACCCCGAATATGGTGAGAAACCAACCCCTCTTGAGCTAACTGCCTAAGTCTATTAGATGGCAACTGTGGACGTGTTAAAAATCCCCACCCGAAGATCGATATTTTCGCTCAAGTTTTTTTTTTCTCGTGGAATTTCTGGTTATGATTTTGTTTTAACCGGGTGAAACTATTGTGGTTTTTTTTGTTTTTTTTTTTACTCGTGTCTCAAGGTGAGAGCTTTGAGACGCAGAAAAGCGTATTAGAATATCAGGAAACTCCCAAAAGCGGAATGTCACCCGTTTAATGTTTAAAACATAAACTAATCCCCCCCCCAAAAAAAAAAACCAGTTCCAAACTGGTTAGTAGACTCTTCCAACAGCAGCTCAACTTTTCGTACAGCCCATATCGTGAACGAGCACCGCTCACGTCCCACACGCGTGAGCGCGCCCGAGGTGGCGAGGGCATTGCCTGAGCTTGAAACATGGCCCTTTCCACGTAGCCTCCTCGTAACGCTGCGAACACGCGAGCATGGTGTCCGGTGGATGGCGTTTTACTGGCAAATGGCAACATCCCTGGGAGAGCGCGCTTCAGCAAACGCCGGGGCAGAGGGGGGTGAGTTTTCGAGAGACGGGGAAGGATCGTCAGCGATCAGGTGCACTGGTTCTCCAAACCCTGTGGGCACTGTCCACGCCACGGGTGGCAAGACCACGCCGCCCGCGCTCTGCAACCCCCACAGTAACCGACCTGCCCCCGGCAGAGAGCACAGGCGACGGGTCAGCTCCCACAAACTGGTCCTGCGCTACATCGCACCGTGCATGAACTCGTACGGTCTGTGCATAGTGAACAACTTCCTCGGCAGCGCAGCCGGGGATAAAATTCTCGAAGAAGTCCTGAGGCTCCACCAGAGTGGGGAATTTCAGCACGGGGAGCTGGCGAGCGGGACGTGTGGCCTGAACCAGTCGATTCGGGGGGACAGAATCACATGGGTGGACGGGACGGAGCCCGGCTGCGGAAACATCGGCTTTCTCCTGTCGCGAATGGACAGACTCGTCGCGTTCGCCGACGGCAAGCTGGGCAGCTACACGATCAGGGGGAGACACAAGGTGAGTGGTCACTCTCGGCCGCCAACATGCAGGCTGGTGCGCGTCGTTGCGCTGCGTTGTTTGAGCGCTGTAACTTCAGCCGGCGTGTCACGAACCCAGAGGTTAAACCACGGTGCCTGCGGCTCGATTGGTTTTCCTGCTGCTTCAGTTAGTTAATTGCAGTTAATGGTGTTTTTAGGGGCCCCCCTTTGGATGGAAACTGTGTGTATTGCTCTGTATTTTTAAATAAAACAATACAATGATCCATGATTGAAATCAAAGCATAACCCGTTGATTCGTGGGCTTCACGTGTCTCCCCCCTGACAAGTTGTGTCGACTCCCCCCTGCGGCGGCTTGTCTGTGGATTTCTTGAAAGTGGGTTTGTCTTCCACGCAGTGCGCTCTTGTATTCGTGTCTCACGTGTACAATACACACACGTGTGCGTGCGGGGAATGTAGCGAAGGCAGGCGAGAGTTATAACGCGTTTTACCACGTCAGAACGATATGACTAAAGAAACATCTTCAAAGCTTCAAAGTTATTTGTTAAAATTGTTGCCAGTTCTCACCAGTCATTAACATTCAGACGAAATATGTCTGTGCTCATAAGGAGGTAGAAAGTACCCCTTTTTTTTTCAAAGGGAAAGGTTTTTGAACTATTTCCTTGAATTGTGGATTGGATTATTACTGCTTAAAATAACCTGGTCACCAAAAAACGCTACCATCAAAGGCCAGATTTACCTTGCTAAGTAACACGTTTTTTTAGTAATATTAATAAAGATCACTTTCATAGTGCCACAACAGTCACAAGGGCCTAGGTTCTGAAAATAATAAAACAAACACACTCTCGAGAGAAGAATGGGTGAACCGCAACAAGCCCCCGTTATTTATTGAATGAACTGAGCAACCAGTTAGTTTCACTCCGCTTCCATTAGCCACTCGTGGGTGGAGACACGCTTCCGTGATCTGTTTTCGGGGTGTACGTGCCGCACGCTCTGCGGGCTCGCTGGTGTGGGACATGTCGTGGTTTCGCCGGCGCCTGCACCCTTGCGGACAGCGGACAGCGCACAGGCAGCGGGCGAGCCGTGGGGCTCCGGCTACATGCGCCCGGCGACCTCCCCAATGGCGGAGGACACTCCCCGCGGCTGGGATCGCGGGGAGAAAAAAAACAACAACACGCACATGGTGTTGACCTCATCACCAGGTTATCAGCAGAAATCAAAGGACGGTACCCCTGCGTTGTGAGGGGAAAACAAGGCGCTGGAGACTCGCAAGCTGTGAAGGTCCAGATCTTGTGTGACCTGGAGTAGCAGCGTCACTTCGCCATTAATACAAACATTGTAGCGGCTGGTGGACAGCCAATAGGAGCACCTTCGCGCATATTCAAAGCACGGTCGGTCTCTGCACAGGGGGGGCTGCCTGTGTTTTGGGATGGCCTCTGGGTTTCACTGAGAGCGCAGCGGGAGCGTTTGAAGACGCGCGGCCCCGCCTCCGGAGAGAGGTACCACACATCACGCACGTCCCCGCTCCGACCCGCCTCGCCAAACACAGCCCCGCCGAGGACTTTAAAAGCAGGCAAGCAGGCAGGCAGGACAAAGTTCAGCACATGTGTCTTGTTTGTCCTCCTGGGCTGCACGGTGACGTTTTTATCAGCCTCAGTTAAGCACCGCCAAAGGAGTTGGAAGGTGTTTTTAGGGGCGAGCTCGTTTATATCGGCGAATCGGACTGCGATGAAAGTACTGTAGTTGCGTTGTTCTGCTGTTATCTAGACTTCGGATTTTATTTTTATTTTTTTGCGGCGGGGGGGAAGATGCCTCTGCTACAGCATATTATGGAACTGGATCTAGAAAAGCTGGCTTTGGACCACATCGTGCCGTGCCTGCTAGATCAAGGCTTCTTTTATCTGGACAACTTCCTCGGCGAAGTCGTGGGCGACTGTGTCCTGGAGCAGGTGAAGGAGATGCACTCTTCGGACTTGTTGAAGGACGGGCAGCTGGCCGGCCGCCGGAGCGGCGTTTCTCGGAGGCACATCAGGGGCGACAAGATCGCCTGGGTCAGCGGAGCAGAAAAGGGCTGCGAAGCGATCAGCTTCCTCCTCTCTTTCATAGACAAACTCGTCACGCTTTGCGCCGGCAGGCTGGGGAAGAGCACCATCAGGGAGCGATCGAAGGTGAGTCCCTGGAATCGCACTTTAACGTGATCCTATCGGTGCCCGTAACCAGCCGTAAACAAACACTGAACGGTTCGCAGGAAGCGCACGTACGTGACTGAGCAATTAACCCGTGACCTTTCAACGGATCAGAGCGTCTGTTGAGTTTCCAGGGATGGTAAACGAGGACTTGTGTACACAAGCGCTTTACATTGGGCTTCCGAGACGAATCTATGAATTATTTCGATCTGTGTTTGGAAACCCATTACATGGTGTGCACTGTGCTGGACTGGCGTACTGTTGAACGTGAAATCTCTGTGGTTACAGTAGCACACTGTTGCAGCTCTCTGGTTCGGTATCCCGGATTGACTTCGGAGCTGTCTGTGCACGATGCCAGCTAAGCCCTTCGTCTCGATCACTTGAATATCGGAGGAGCTGCTGTCAGCCCTGACAGGGGTCACTCTCTGTGCACTCCACTCACATAGCGTCGAGAGTTCTTCTGCAGTAACAGTCGTAACGCAAATTCTCACTTTAAGACTCTTATTAAGATCTCCTATTTAAGTCAACGCGTTGGTGTGCAGAAGTAAGTTATCCTAAAAGAAATTGTGCGACTCCAGATGAATATATGTAAACATGATTAGGCGAAACCACAAGTATTTGTTGCATTTTAATATCTGTTTGTGCATAAAGGGACACATAAAGGAATGCTTTGTGTATGTAGAGAGGCGTTTATCGGTAGTTCTGAGCATTGAGTATATGCTTCCTGACAGCACAGCCAAATGAAAATATTTAAGGTAACAACACGTGCAAAGACATTGCTTTTGTGGAGGGGTTAGAGCGGGCTTCGGGTCCCTGCGAATCTAAAAGATTGTCATCTGAATCATGACCGCTCTGGGTGGAGAGCACTGAATTTTGCACATGCTTCTATGCTAGACTGACTTTAATGATGCCGGTGTCATGTTAGCCTAGGACACTTGCAATGCATGACTGCTCCAGAGTTTTAGAAGCAACTCAAGACGCGAGCATCGGGAGATGAGCTGGGCTGTCGAGGCGCGTAGCGCGTGTTAATGCACGAGGAATAACCCATGACCCTGGGCACCATCTCGTCTGAGCGTCTTACTGCTCAGGCAGAAGGGACAGGCTTCAGAGTACTGTTTTTTTTTCCAGCAAAAACAGGTATCCGCCTTAAAGTTTAAGGCAAAATAACATTCCCAATAGCAGCTCTTAAAGCGACCCTGTTTATTTAGTATTGCATCTAACCTAAAGGAGCTGATTAAAACAATCCAGCAGGTACAGACCCTCGCCCTGCTCCCCGTGATGACGGTGTGGCTGTGGATGGCAGAGCGCACGTGCACGCACGCACGCACGCGGAACTCCGCCCAGAAAGCGCGCCTCCTGAAACGCGCCCCTGTCTTGTCAGCAGTACGTGACTTCTGACACTGGAGATAGTTCTGTTTTTCTGTTTACACACACGGGAAGCCAGCAGCCCGGCCGCAAGAAGAGGTCTCGCACTCTACCAGCTCCATGAGCAATCACGCTGCATTTTTGCAATCGCTAGAGTTCGTGCAAGTGCGGAGGGAGACATGACTCACGAAAAGCCCAAAGTTTCGTTTCGTTTCGTTTACAGGTCGTTTCTTCGGTTTGACGGGCGTCGCAAATATATTGACTGTTCTGCTCAGGATTTAGAATCCCTCTCCAAACAGAAAGACGGCAACCGCCCTTTTCAAATAAAGGACAGAAAGAAAGTTTTGGTTTACATACAATGTGATAAGAATACATCATTGCAGCATTTATCTTATATCAAGTCATAGTAATATACGTCTTTTCTGATGAGAAAGGAGTAATGCAGGAGTTGTTTTGTGCGTCCGGAAGGATTGGCACGTTGTAGATTTCTGATTCACAGCATTTTAGATCTTTACACACTCCAAATGAAGCACTGATTCATCCAGTTTCGGGAAGTGGCTTACAGCTGGTGAGGGCCCTGGCAGCACGGAGCCCGGTCAGGAAGCACAGGGTGCGAGGCTCTGACCCCTGGATACACACTCATGCCCAGCATATCCTGGGGGAGAGGAAGGAAACCTGCTTCTCATGGAGGGAACATGCAGACTTCACAGAGAGGGTGCCTCGGACAGGAATCAAGCCCAGGGCTTAAGAACAAGCACTGCTGACTGTCACGTCACTGTGCTGCTCTTGCAAAGATCTGCATGTCTAAATCCATTAGTTTTACATTTTTGCATTACACCGGGGTAATGAGAAGAATGGGTGAACCACAACTGCAACTGCAATCTTGCTAAGTTTAATTCCGATACGAAGCAGCTGAATATGCAGAGCTAAGACCATCTTGAACTTGCCTTCTCAGGCTTCTGGTTTCCAATGTAACTCTTTAGAACCCATGAGATATATGTAACATCAAGGTGAAGAGGGCATTAAGTTCTTAAAACAACTGGAAAAAAAACGATCATTACGTCTGTACTTCTATAGTGGTATTTCTGGTATTGTGCTGCAGTAGTATTAAAGGAGATATTAATTGAATTAAACAGATCCTTTTAAAAGTGCACGATTTTAATCCAGTCATTCCTAGCAGCAGGGATGATGAGTGCTGCCCCACAGAGTGCTGCCCTCTTCTCCGGGATATTTACCAAGCTTCTTCAGATTTCCCGGTTTTTGTTCTTTTTCTGGCCTGGGCCCGGCTCTTCACCTGACTTGACTTCTGCCTTGTGTTGATGTCTGACGCAGGACGTCACTTCCTGGGAGTGCCGTGTGCGCTGCGCTGAGGGGGCGGTGTGCTGAGCAAGAGTTTCGCGAGCTCTTGGCTTGCAGCAGCCTCACGCTCTGCACGTAGCGCTGTCATTAAACCTTCAGCGGGCTGGCAGGAGGCCAGGACAGCCCCCTCCCCCCACTGCCTTCCGCAGGGCTGCCCCCCCCTGCTCAACCCTCGCCACTCTCCTTCATGGCCTGTTTACACATTCTGGGAATGACAGGCTAAATATGTGCATCCTGAATGGAAGTAATTAATGACATGGCCCCTTAGCTCCCAATATCGCAATCGCTTGTGCTGTTTTCCTGGGTAGATCAACCGGAACACGTCCTTCAGAAAGAGTGAGGAACAATACCGCTAACAAGTTATTTTGTTTCTTTTGTTCTTCATCGTGATCGTTGGGCTTCCTTAAATCATATTTGTCATGTGTAGTTTTGGACAGTAAGGTGTTCAGAAGTGGCATTCTGTTGTTGTTTTTTTTGCAGTACTTTTATAACTGCTCAAAATTGATTATTTCACTGGAGCACAATGTTCAGCTGGTTTTTCTACTCTTTGTAGGTTTATAACTGATATACAGGCATTTAAATATATGGAACAAGTTTATTGTTCTTTTAAAATATATAAAGTGATTTTTGCAAAGTTTCATGTAGAAGTCTTGAATTTTAGGACAATATTCCTGAAAAAATATTCAAGTAAGGGATTGCATAGTTATCACGTTTAATGTCATCTTTATTTGCGAAATGCAGTTTTTATCAAAACTATCTTAAGTATTTAAACTATGGCATTAAAAGGTCTGCAGCTCACAATGAGACAGAAGGACTGTGAGCTTGCAGAAAAACCTGCAAATTGAAATGTAAGTGTTTACTTTTAATCAGGAACAATGTTGAAGGACATTGCATTAACTTAAATATTATCTTGGTTAGCAGCTTGTGACATCTAAACACAATGTTATGTTTTGTGGACAGTAGAAATGCTGTCTTTTTTCATAGCACTCCAGTCTTTAATCTGATGGTATCTGGGCGTTGCATGTTTCTTGTGTATCCTGAAAGCTAAATGTATTTACTGTTTCAAAGCCAACGAAGACTGTTTTCACTAGCAGAGCTCACTGCTAGTTCTTGGCCTGGTGCGTTTTATTGCTTCTGGGAATAGTAATTTTCCGGTTGTGATAAGATTGGGCGTCTAACACACAGACAAATCGGCTGTCCTGCTGCGACATTTCTCTGGCACTGAAAACTGTGGATGGCAAGGATAAAAGTCCTTCCCACACCCCGCAAATGGAAAATATCACTATGACTGGGCATTCGTGTCTTCCATCAATTACAAGTACTCACAGATTACTTACATTTTTGCGATTAACTATGTCAGGTGGCAATGTACAACTTTCTGCTGTGTCGCCAAGCATAAAAGCTAGGTAAATTCTGGCACATGAAAAACCATGGTCCACCTGAAGACTCATCATAATTATCTTTCATTTGCAAAGAGCAGATTTGCAACCAGGCTAGTAGGTCATTACATTAGTGGCTCGGCTGTTTTAATTCCATACAGCAGTTTTATTACAGAGAAGACTGTTCTGTTCTTTTGCATGCCAGTTGGTCTAAAATTGGGCAAAAGAAAAAACAAACAAACAAACAAACAAACGAGGAAAGTTGTGAAATTTTGTCTTTTTTAAAAATACCAAAATGTAGCCTTCTGACAAATATTGAGGGGTGGTTTAAAAGACGACAGTCAGATGTACTCTCCAATGTGTTTGCACTAAATAATTGCACTCATTATTTCAGGTAAAGTTAGTTCTAAATGGGTTCCGTGATACCACTGGTTAAGATTTCAATTTCACTGCTAAAGAGATAGTACTTGATTTTATACTTGAAGGTCTAATGGGTATTGTAATTGAATTAAGTAGTTTCTGTCTTTATAAACGCAACAGTCAGAACAATGACGTGCCTTATAGAAAGTGCAGTCAGCGTTGGTATACTGTTCCTGTGGATGTGACTCGCCTAGAGGCTCTAAAAGTGCTTGTGTTCTGCCAGAAAGAACTTTCCACATGAGTGATACGGGTTCCTCAGCGAGAGTGCAATTTTATCGAAGGCTGTGTTCTCTAGATATTGATTATGACCGTTTAGCACCAGCTGGTGGCAAAATTCCAGCCTTTTCCTTTACAGTCTAAACTTCCACTCACAGATCTGCTCTGATAGTGTATCTCTTCTCTAAACGTTATAACCAAAGTCAGTGTGAAAAGAGAGTTTTATCTGGCTAAACTCTTGCATCAAGATAGGCCTGTTTTTCTGCTTGGTCCTTCTTGCTGGATATACTGGATAGGAATTGTAGTGGTGACAGAGCAAGACTTCATTGGCTTTCGTGAGACTGCTACCGACCCACTGTGGTAAAGGAGAACCACAGGGGCTGTTTTTTCACACTTCACGGTGGCTTTCTGTGAATCCCTTATCTGCAGACTTGGAGTTGAGATTATTGGTGGTGGCTGAGTGGATTTCATTCTGTGGTTTTCAGCTTGTGACTGAGTGCACGTACTCATGAGTATTAAAGAGCCACTTCCTGTTACCTGCACGTTCATATTCAGCTGTATGTCTCAGCCGGGTTAGGTGCGTAGCTTTGAAGATTCAATCCACTTGAGCCTTTTGACATCTTCCTCAATTTTAGTGCCCCTGCTGGGGGAGCATGCAGTCCTTTACAGGCGCTGCTCATCAGTACCTTCCAGGAGGTAATTCTACCCATTTGCACACACAAAACAGACAGATCACTTAAAATCATTTTATAAGCTTTTTCCTTAGTTATTGTGTTTTGGAAATCCACAGGAGATGTTTAGAATGTAAAAAAAAGCATCAGCTGAATGCACCAGACCAAGGACCATACTTCTTCTTGCTCAAAGTTGTAACGTACTACAGTAGTTTTTCAAAAAGTCTTATTAAAACCCCCTTTGGTTTGTTTTAGAGGGAGCTTGTAAACTTCGTTGGCAGTTTTTTTTTCTTTTTATCTATTGTATTACATTTATGGGGCAAATCTATCTCGGTTTGATGTCCGTTATGGTTTCAGTTTATCCCTTTTTAACGTGGGTTTGTTGTTGTGTTGTTGTTGCGCAGGCCATGGTAGCCTGTTACCCAGGAAATGGAACTGGGTATGTGAAGCACGTAGACAATCCCAATGCGGATGGACGTTGTGTGACCTGCATTTACTACCTGAACAAGAACTGGGATGCAAAGGTAAGATCCCAGATTTGAAGCTTTGCTTACGAACTTGATGATCCAGATTTATTTTAATTTGTTTCCAGTAAATTTATTTTCTGGTCTCAATGCTTTATTCATTTTTAAAGCACATTGATGAAAACAACATTATGCAGGATAAGTAATTATGTTTTCTACTGTATCAGATATTCCTGTCTTTTATGTGTAACGTGTGTAATGACTCACTGTTCTCTTTTGATGAGACTATGCAAATGTAATTATTATTTAGAGTTACAAATATTATGTATGACTAGGAGCTTCATTAACTGTTTTGAAAGGGCTGTCACATCAACCAAAATTCTAAAAAATAGTCTTTTTTTTCAGGAACATGGTGGAATACTGCGAATATTCCCTGAAGGAAAGTCTTATGTAGCTGACATAGAGCCAGTTTTTGACAGATTACTATTCTTCTGGTCAGACCGACGAAACCCTCATGAAGTCCAGCCCTCGTACTCTACACGGTGAGGAAGGAGATTGTTAAAACTATTTTAAGCATTTTTATCAAACATTTGGAAAGGAAATTATTTTTGAGGTTCTACATGAATGTAAGTTCCTATATAGTAAATAGAATATTTTAAATATTGAATTGCATAATTCAGAAGAACTGCAGTTTTCCACTACCAAATCAGTACGGCCAACCTAAAGTTTTAACGAAGGTGTTGCTAGGATAGTTCCATGAGTGTTTCATTAAATGGTCTGTTTTTATTTGCCGTAGGTATGCTATCACTGTTTGGTATTTTGATTCTGAAGAACGAGCTGAAGCAAAAAGAAAATTCAGAGATCTGACAGGTAACAGTAATTATTAAATGAATGCATAAGAAACGTCTATAGCTTGTTATTTTGTTGCAAAAAGTTTCTGATTTTTGGATTTGTGACAATTTTAACACCAGTATTACTTTAGATGAACATTTAAAAAAAAAAGATGGACAATCTGTAAATTAGTGAAATATGCCTGTGAAGGTAAAGTTTAGAATCGATCAGTATAAATAATGTGATCACTTGTTTTCCGCAAACAGTTATCAGTAATGTATTTTTTTTTCCCCATTTCAGCATCTTCACAAGACAGGAACATTCCCAAATGAGGCAACTGAATTACTGGCTGACATTTGTAAGGAACGTGTACATATTCATTAGATCCAAAGAAAAAAGTATTGGGTTGTTTTTTACACTACTGCACTGTTAACATTTTTTTGCATGTATATACGGCACTTATGGTACAGGAAACAGCTATCTAGGTATGCATTTTTTGCAAAGACAAATTTAATACATAAACTGTCTGCTGGTCTTGATTGAATGGTATTCTTGTCATACTAGACTGATGATATTTGCTATCAAACTCTGAAATACCTAATTAGTTTATCATTTCGAAAAAATGCAGAAATTGATGCCCCCGTTCCTTTTAAATTGTGATTTGGTATGCACAGAGCAAATTCTACAAACAATTAATTTCAACCATTTTTTCAGCACAAGAATATTGTGGACACTGATTGTAATGAAATAAGGATTTATATAAAAAGACGAGAGATTAGGAGATGCAGTAAATGTTTTGGAGACGGTGAAAATCAAATAAGCTCTGAAGAGATTACTATACAGTACAGAGAAAAGTTGCCTTATTCCAGTCACTGGTTATCAATGTCTCATCAGTCTGTGACAGGGATCTCCAACCCTGCTCCTGGAAAGCCCTAATCCACTTGTAGGTAGCAATTAAATCAGCAATTTCTAAAGATACGGAACAATTCCATGTTGTTCAACAGGTTATTTAAAGATAATTTAGGCCTAGAATTGAATTATTCTTCAGTCCTCAAAGACCAGAATTCTCTAAATTGAACACTTTTCTTCAGCAAAAGCTTATAGGTGTAGCCAATAACAAAACAGGTGACCTATAAGACTTAACTAGATTGGAGCTCTCCAGGACCAGGGTTGGAGACCCCTGATATATGAGGTGGATGCACAGAGTATAATGCAATGGTGCCAGAAACTGTCCCTCACCCTGCTTCTTTTCATACACACATACACGCACAAGTCCTGTCTAAATGACCTACCCCCATAACAAAAATATATTTATTTGGAAGCTGTAACCATTGCATTACTTACTAGGAGCTGGGTTAAAAATACCCTAGGCCAAACCCTGTGAGACCATTGATAAATGTGTACTTAATTTCTTTTTTTCTCCAGCTAAGGTCTTCAGGAAGCATCATGTTTGGTGGCGAGATTTGCAGGCGACAGTTTTTGGCATCTTAAAAAAGCTCTGTTGCATGCACACAATTCTAAATTTTGGAATCCCTTTGTATATACATTTGCCTAAAATGTGTTCTGCAATTGTATAGGAATTCTGTTCAAATCTTAAAGTGTAATTTTTGTTTTGTAAAGCATCATTCTTATTTTTTACCTTTTCCATTTTTCTAACATGATAACCATCAAAATTAACTTTGGGGAAATTGAACAAATTAATATACGTATAGTACAACCATCCCTTGACAGGACCTGCAGTCTCAAAGCATGCTGTGAAATAGTGGCCATTAGACAGGCACACCTTTCTATGGAAGGGTTTTAAGAGTTTGTTTTTTTTAAGTTCAACTGAAGTCGTGGGCCTCCCACTGTGTCCTGGACAGAAACTGTTAAACAGTGGGAAAATAAACAAGGGAAAGAGGGAGTTGGATTCAGACAAATGAATGTTCGTTACTAGGCTCTTTATTTATATTCTTTTGTAGAATTACAAGCCAGACCAGCCCTGAACTTCCATCTTGTAAAACCAAACTTGCTGCTTGACAAATGCATTGGCTGTTTAATGTTCTTGAAGTACAGAAACGAGGAGATGGGCATTAGCTACTTTCCTTCGGTGTGATCTGCCAGTATCTGTTCTGCCTGCTGCTGTGTGTGCTGTAGCAGCACTGATGATAATCACGCCCAGAGGATGAGTCGGATCTTCTGACCACGTGAACTGTGATGATGGGGTGCCGCGCTATGTCCTGGACTTGTTTGTGCTTAAAAACAATTGCGGTTTGCCACCTGAGGGACTCTATTTAATATTATACCCCGTCCAATCAAAGCCAAGATCAATTTTATGATCATGAGATTTGTTGTTCCTTGTTATGCTAATGTAGAAAATGGACTTCAAGAACTGTGTATAGTGCATTTCAGATGTTTTTCTTAAAGACTTAAATATTGTACAATACTGTGTTTAATGGCAGCTTGCATGCTGGTCAGCAATGCTGGTGACACCTACAGGATATTGTTATAACACTTGTTAAAATACGTCTTTCTTTATCATATACAGTAAGTGTTTTTAGAACATCATGAAATAAATGTTTTGCACAAACCGATAGTGCTGATAATGTCCTTGTTGATTTTCTTCCAGATATGTGTAATTCCTAATTTCTCACACTGGGCTCTCTTTTGTGACACTCAAATCATTAATGCGTTTTGAGCTCTAGAATTTGTAAGCATTGGTCTTGGGTAACGTTCTAAATCTAGACTAATGTTTACAGCACGTCAAAGACCATAGGTAAGTAGAGTAGGTGTTGGCTACCTAACAAACTGTAAAGATGCCAGTATTCACCCTCCTCACCACCAAGAAAGGTGAATGTGTTTATTCGGTACCTTCTTCCACTTCTTTCAACTACACTGTGGTTGTTGCATTGTTGCCAAGTGTCTCCTAATCCACAGTATAATTTAACCCATAATGGCTTGATCTTAACCAAAGAGTCCCACCAGTTGAAAGAGAAGGATCTGTGAATACGGTATTCTGGCCTGGGCGGGGAGTGCAAAGTCATATCAAAAGACAGCACAGACAGACACTGCAGAATGGAGGCGGGCACTGGTCAGAGTTCATCTCCCAGAGAGATGTGAATTGTGTGCTGCTGAAGAATTTTTAATTTTAGCCCCTTAAAAGATGCACACTCTGCAAAGCTTTCAAGAAACTGCCTTTCGAGTTTCAGCATTTCTTCTCATTCATTACATGAATGTCACTCATTTTCCTTAAAACACATAAAACTGTGCGTGAAAGAGTTTACGTATGTAATAAAGCATATGTACAAACTGTACAGTGTAAGACAGTCCTTTGAGAACGTAAAACTGGAATATCCAACAATCGTAAATTCACAGATTCACAGAGAGACATGGTGAATTCTGTTTCTTATTCTTCTCTTATCCTGCCAGATAAAAAAAATCCTAAATATCCTGAAACAAGTTATATACAGAACTTTCATTTCATTTCAATTCACTTCAACTTAGGAACAACATTCAACTACATAAATACACTCACAACTACACGTGACCTCTTTTCGTTAAATGTTAATAACCACTTTTATCTCACGTATAACAATAGTCTCATTCAAAACAATATCGATAAATTCAACAATCAGAACGTATCGAAACCAACCCCCCCTTCCCCCCCCAAAAAAAACAATAAAAAAAACAGAAGTTAAGCGTCCAGGAAACTCTGAATCCTGGTCAGCTGCTTTGTTCTTCGCTAGGTGAAAGGTTCCGAAAGAGGAAACACTTGGGGATGGTTGTGTTTTAATAGTGATAAATGCGACTAGCATACAAATGTGAAGTAACAGTATACAGTAAAAAATAAACTGCCATCAAATCGAAATTTCGATCGCCCAGAAATGTTATACTTTGCTACTAATCGTCAATTTAGGTCAAATGTAATTAATTAATTGCGTTCGACACGACGTCTTCTCTACGGGTTGAGGGGAAAGGTGTTTAGCGCCTTCTGGTGGTAATGGCGTGGAACTGCCGACAAAAGCTATTGATTGTACAGGGTGAAATAAAGCAAACTGACGCAAAAAATAAAGCGATACATGAAGGATATTTAAAGGCAAAAGGTATCGCACTGTCGTTTCTGTATACTGCAGCACATCTACGACTTTACAATACAGTGAATGACCTGTACTACACATTTTTGTACAGAGGGTGGCACTCTTGTTCCCTTTATTCGCTTGTTACCAGTCTGTATTTTTAACCAAATTGATTTAAGTTCTTTCTGCATAAAGAATAAGAAGCGCCTTATATTTAAATAAACCATGACCAAAAACAACACAATAATTAAAAACTGAGCTTCGACTCTGCTTGCCTTCACCATTTTCCAACAACAAGGAACATTGAATATTGGAGAAGAATAATTAATTTTTAATTAAGTGCATCACATTTACTGTGAAGTAGCCAACTATATTTGATCCTGGAGAGCCACAGTCCAGCAGATCTTAGAGGCCTCCTTTAAATTTGTAAAGATTTGTACTATATTTGTGTTTTGCTAAATGTATTGAGTTAGCTGGTCTAATTCAATCAGGGATGGGTTACTGTGGTCAGTGAGAGCCACCTTGTAATTTCACAACCCTTGCAACTGCTTAAGTGAACAAAACACTAGCTTTAGTGCTCGGGATGAAAGAGGATCAAGTGTTTCGAAATCCGTGCATCAGTGGTCTCCTAATAACCCGCTGGCCATCCCTGCAGGTTGAAGGCATGTCCAACTGCACAGTTCTTGCTGCTTCTGAGATCTGAAAGTGCGGATGTAGAACCTGCATATTATCGGGTGGGAACAACCATTTTTCTCTCTCTCATTAGAGCAGAAATTGTGCGTGTCCTACCAGTGGAATTTAAAGGGAGGACCCTGATCAATCTTCCCAAATTATGGTTTGTTTCTAGGGATATGGTGGTGGGAGGAGGAATGGTCATTACTTCATGATCCCGCAGACAGCTGCTCCTGGGATTCAGGATTCCCAACAGCCTCTTGGGTCTGGTGATGGGACACACTCACCTTCACTGTGCCCACGAAAGTGTGTTCTCACAGGCCACAGTTACAGGCCTACAAAACCAGGAGGCCAGCAGAAACACACTTACCTGAAAAAAATTATAATTATATTAATAAGTACAGTGTGTAATTAATACTGTATATACTCCACTAGAGTAAATGGCTTTATAAGTTATTTTACAATGAATATGATTTACGTCTGCTAAAAACAACTGAACTTACAGAATAAAAGATCAATATTGTGGTAGTTCTGATGTAGAAATGACAATAAACACACTGAATCTGTATCTTATAAACATATTTCATTGTTCATGGTCTTAAACAGGAAAATCTATCATTTGGCCAATTTATGTGTTTGCTAATTTGGCAGGAGAGAAGTAGGAATGTTGGATGACCATGATGAAGAATGATTTTTATTTAAAAAACGCTAGTGCTTTCTGCTGTTCCACCTGCCGTGGTTTAGCTATTCTTTCTAGAGAGGAAAATGAGTAGCCGGGTCAGATTATATAAGTGGGCAACAATGAGCAAACAGGCAGCTCGGAAAGTAATTTTGCTCTCCACTTTCATCTTGGCAGCCATCAGCAATGTGGCTCTAAAGGATGTTATTTGCCAAACAGACTCAATTTTTTTCAACAGAAATTTGTAGGTTACTTTGGAGGTTGAAGACGCATCATAAGAAAAATGACCTATAAACAGTGGTGGGTTTTACTTACCAGAATAATTACCAACCACCACAGCGTTACACCAGTTTCTGGAGGGATCTGCATCTTATTCTGCCAGTGCAAGAGTTTCGACAGTCGTGGTCATACAACAGTAACACAACATAGTAAATATGTATTCTGACAGTCTCTCTGCTTCCCTACCTGTTTGGTGAGAAATTACGAACAGTTTAGGACCAAGTAGATAAACAGAGCACTAAAAATCAACCTGAAGTATTTTAGAGTAGCACTCGAGCTTGCATCTTTAGAAAGCAATATTTTAGCACTTCCGTGTAAATGATTCCCAAAACCTGCTAATGACATTTACGACATGCAGAAACCAAATTGCAAGAGCTGAGGGGGGTACTTCTGCGAATAAAATAACTACTGTTCATCACATATTAAACAGTCATCCAGATTAGGTTATATTAGTTATATGGGTCATGCTCTTTGAATACTTTACGAGACTAGTGTACTTGTACACAATCCAAGCTTCAGGGATGAGTTGCAGATTGCTGAAACCTTTGTAGGGTAAAAAATCGTCTTGGTTTTAATTTAGCTCTGACCTTACTGTACTTCAGTCACGTTTATACTAAATAATGGCATAGCTCGAATTTTTTTTTCTGCAGTTGAAGGGGGTACAACTTGTTTGAGGAGTGTTTTAATATGCAGTACAGGGTACGCTATTTAAGTAAGTAGGAGACATCCTTCTTTGACATTTTACTTTACTACTAGGTTCTGTATGCATGTATTCTGAAATCTGTTGCATTCTAACCATTGCAATCAATCCAGATTTCCTTCTGTCTGTATAGGGGGTTCCAACAGCACACGCGTACATCTTTCACTCAATCCCCTGGCGAATCTAATTAAAACAATGCAGAACAGGTCCTTCAGTGGCTCAGAAGCGACGCGCCTGCTATATTGAACGTGAGAACAGAAGCTCCTCACAGGTTGGCGCAATCATCCAAGAGATGATATTCATTTCTCCCGACATACACTCTGTATTCAGGTAGGCGAATTAATCCGCGCTACAAACACTACTCCTATGTAAGAAGGTTTAGGAATAAAGAAGTGATGACGATTACGCGTCTGATCGTCGACAGTTCTCTTTGTTCAATCCCTTAATTCAAGCCACTTGAAAAAAAAAAGCTCTTTCAATTACGTCGTCAAATGGAGGTGTAAATATTTCCAGTTCTCACAAGAAGAAATCGACATTTACCTTCAGAGTATTCTTCTCCAAGCTTTACATCCTGGCAATGTGTGTTAAACATCTTAGGTTGAGGGATTCTGCGATAATCCACTTTGAGGACGATCTGGCTAATTGTAGTTGCAAAAGTTGCCACTTCATCTCTTTACGAAACGAGCGCCTCCAGGCTCAGTTTGACCTTGAAAATGAATTCTTTAGATTTTGACTTTCTTTGCAAGAAGGGTGGGACGACAAGTAAAACTGCTGTTTAGCCCTTCACACACAGTATTTAAATGTTTTAAACCACGCTACGGTGCCTTTTTTTCTAGTTATGAAATCTGGACACGTACCAAGCTACGTATAGAATCACCTAAAGCTAAACCTGACAGTGTGATGGCACATGGCGCTGGAATCAGCTTTGTGATACAGTAATTTAGAGCGTTAACTGAGGTTTTCTTTACACTTTCAAAGAACAAAAAGGCAAACCATAACTCTTGCATTAATTCATATCATGCATGCAGATAGAGTGTTTTGTACTTGCAGTAAGAAAGTTAACCTAACGATTTCGCCCTTTTGGTATCTAAACAGTGTTTCAAAGTTATAATGAGGAGAGGTGGGTATGTCTGGCAGGGAAGGGTCATTATAGCCAGCCTGTGCCTATGGATTTTTTCGTCTTCTTCTGA